CAGGTGTGTTTGATATGGGTTGAACTGAAATCTGCAGGAAGGTGGCTCTCCAGGAACAGGGTTGGCCACCCCTGGGGTAATACATGCCATGCTTCAGTTAATCAAATGTATTTATTTATCTAAATTACATCTAATGCATTAATACAACATATTTTAGTTTTTAGGTTTAGTGAAATTCTGTGAAATTTAGTGAATTCTGACCTAAAGTTACAGTATCTGAGAGTATTCTAACCTACAGTTTGTTCAGATATTACTGTAGAAACTATAAAAACATAGCATCTTATTGTGCTTTACTTTTAGACTATATGTAGATACAAATACCTACTTCACAAGAAAGGTGTCTTGAGAACATTAACGGTTTCCATCGGTGCTCTAGATCAGCCGGTTTCAGACTGTTGAATTGAAATTTTCCTAGGGGTGGGCAGATCGATCCTAATGTACCAAAATTTTCAATACAGGAGATGTACCAAAAGGTTCAATCCTTAAGTAGGAGTATCAAACTTTTAAATATGTCTGTTTTTTATATAATAATAAAACAGAAGGTGATAAAAAACACTTTATAAAATAGCTATCAAATATTTAATTGAAGTGCCGTATAGTAATCAATATTGATATCAATGATACTTGTCTTGAAATACTTGTATTGGATTAGAAAGAAAACAATTATGTATCTATTATATCTAAATGATCATATAAATATTAGTATCGCCAATCCCTATTTTCCTGCAGGGACTGGTAGTCAGGGTTCAGGAAGGATGAGGGAGCGAGGACTCAAGTGCAAACAGGATGATTTATTGATAATAACAATAAAACAAAAGAAGAACAAAAACCACCCCGAGGGGGAAAAACATAACTATGACACTAACAAACAAACTTGGCAGGCATGACAAGAGCAGGAACACATGGGGAGTTTAGACGAAAAACTGGCACAGAACAGAAAACATGAGGGGATTATAAAGCAAAAAGTAAATTGACACACAGGTGAACATGACAAACTAATAATGAGTTAACAAGGAGGGTGGGACTAGACAATAGACGGGAGAGCGAGAGAGAGTACAAGCGCGCGCGCGTCAGTGGGACGCAGAGCCTGCGCGGCCGCATCAAACGGGAGCGCGCACGCTCTGCGCACACTCACGAAGGCACGCGCACACACGGAGACACACACAATGACATAAACAAGTGCTCGATCCAAAAAACGTGAGCCGAGCACAGCAGGACAGGACTAGACATGACTAGAGTCCGGATTCTGCCACCAAAACAAGAATTTACATGACCAGAGTGGCAGAACCCAGATCCTGGTTGGCACGATTATGCATTCACAATAATATGAATCGTTATGGGGTGGTCAAATATATATTTATATTATCTATTATTTAAATTATTTATATTATTATTTACGATACAGATCAGAGACAACTTTTTAAAACTTGCAATTAAAAGGCTGACCTCCATCTTGTTTTGGTATGCTTCAGGTGCAATCCCCCAAACCCCCTGTAATTTGCTACCTGGTGAGTTCCCTAACCATACCCTTTACTGAGTGATGAGCAAATCATGATCTAAGTGCAGTGTATGGCGCAAAAGGCAATACAGTTATGTCCATATCCAATTTTTCTATTTAAAAAACGGAAAATATGATTTGCGCCTCACTGCATTGTCTAAAAGTGTTGTGCTTATTATCTTTTATAAGTCAGTTGTGTCACGTCCTAGCGCATTTTACATCGCGGACTTTGTACAGTTAGTGGAAAAACTGAACGCTTCACTTTAATTTCGTAATTTCATTTGTTAAGCACGATAGTTTATAGTTTGTTTCAAAACTATTTCAAAATTCAGTTCTAATTGCCAGCAAACAAATAAATGAACATTAACAACAAAGTGTGTACAAAAAACTTTGCAATAGTTATATGCAAACACATATGGTGATTAATAAATCTACAAAACATGTCAGTTGGACATATCTAAACTTATTTTTATTTCAACAAATATAAATATGCCTATATTAAATACAACTAATAATAATAACATTACACAAATGCAAAGTGTCATGAATAAATAGACTACAATAGAGCTTGATTCCAAACCCCCCGATGTGAAGAAGGCATGGAGGTAGTGGTTTTTATATTTATATAGAAAATAATTATTTTTGTGCCATTTTAATCCTTTATATTTTTCATATGTAAAGATATTTTGGTGCCTTAACACACCTCCTTTTCAGACCAGCACGCTCATACACAAAGTGGCGCAAATGGATTTGCTATTTAAACAATGTGGTGCAAAACATGAAAATGAAACCTGCGCTTGAATGAAAATAGCAACAAATAATGCCTTGCTAGGGCCCTAGAACTTAAAAATGAGGCTGTACAAATGAATAAGAATCGTGCACCAAATCAAAATTATACAAATTGTCATGTGATTTTGTTGGTTTGATGGCTTCAGCCACAATATTCTAAGCCACATTGCTTTACTTGTTAGCTTACAAGGAAATTATCATCAAAAAGAAAGCCCTGCCCCCTATTCAGTATTCCATTTTAGTTAGAAGTACAGCAGCATACTGAAACAAAAGACTCAGCAACTTCCGGGTTATACTGACTTTAAAAATCAGCTTACATGAGACAAAAGAGCTGAAGGCTGAAGTCTTGTTTTATGAGGTCTTTTGATGCTCTGTAATATTGTTCGGCAGAGACCTTTCGCTTATGGACAAGTGTATTGGAGCGTAATCAAAAGCGTGGCTCTGTCCTCTGGGTAGTGCATATAAACATTGAGATTCTTAGCAACACTTCTCACTGAGGCTGAGTGCTTTTGCGTCATCTCAGGGAAAAAATAGAGGCAGATTCTCCCACACTGTCTGCTAAATAAATCAAGCAGTGGTAATGGTTTGTGTTCTCAGCAGAACTGTATGCAGAGAGAGAATCTTTCCTTAACATGTTTGCAGACCATTTATGACAGTCGAAGTCAGATTATGATATTTAACCTTGAGATTACGGTATTGCATCGCAAACACCTTTTCTCACTTTTCTCACAAGGGTCTGTACATACTTTATGTGGCTCAATTTAGTAGTTACTAAACTTGGCTGATATCATAAACCAATTACAGTTTGATGACATAAAACAGGTGAACACCAAGGTCACAACTGAATCAGATATTACAATGAAGTCAATGTCAACTGCAAACATTCCATTTATACGTATGTGTGCCGATTGCTTTATTATTTAGACTCTTTTAAAATGTTCTTTGCAGAGCAAATGTTATGCCAAATAAATGCTTTCATTGTGATCATGAATGCAGTAGCCAATCACAGGCTTTTATGATTTCTTACTGAATACATTTGCAAATGATCTCAATATAAAGAACAAAGAGCTTAAATGATTCATAGGATTCGTTTACAGCTTTTAATATGGCCACCATCAGCTGTTCTTACATTGATGTGACACAGTCAATTTTCAGAACAGTTAAACTTTTGCCGCTGTGTTGAATAATACTGAATGTGTGTTGTGGTTATTACTTGGTATTATGGTTAAGAATAAAGCAATATTAACTTGTTTAACCCCTTTACACCATAAAAAAGACCAAGTAAGTGAATAAGTATCCATTTACAAGTTCATTTTTAATGCATGTCAAGTCAAACAGTTATACTTCAAAAGCAATGTGCTACCATTCATTCATTAATTTTCTTGTCGGCTTAGTCTTTTTATTAATTCGGGGTCGCCACAGCGGAATGAACCGCCAATTTATCCATCAAGTTTTTACGCAGCGGATGCCCTTCCGGCCGCAATCCATCTCTGCGAAAATATGCTAACATGAAATAAGAAAATATTAATACTTTTTTTTATCTTTACTTTTGTTCTGATAGTTTGGTGGAATACCCCCCCCCCCCCCACACACACACACACACACACAAAAAAAAAAACAACCTGATATGTGATGTCCATTGAAATGGATGCAGAATTCCAAAGGGTTAACAGCATTGGGGTTATACATACTTTGTACTCTGCTACTTGAGCAATCTTGATAAGCCATAATGGGCGTTTCTATCTCATGCTGAACACAGTCAACCAATCACAACAGACTGGGATATTGAACAAATCTCCACAAATTAGTGTCATGCAAAGGAGGAGTTTGGAAAAAATGAATCGCTAACCAAATCATATTGGAGTCATTGGGATAATTAGGTAAAAATAAATGCAGTTTATAAGACATCTTTCACACAATAATACCGGTAAATACTGTTTCTGGAAAACTTACAGAATTACTTTAACGGTAAATAAAAAAAAAGAAAAAAAAGGAAAATGCGCGGTTCACATAGGCAAGGATGTTCCAGGGTTTTTCCATCCATATCAAAATACAGTTAAATTCTGACATTATTAAAGAGATATTACCTTTAAAAGCCTGCACTTTTATTTGTACAGGTGTCAAGCTGTTTGTTGATGGTTTTACTTTTATTGAATTGTTTAGCATTTATGCAGCTGCTTTTGTCCAGGGACTAACCAAAATACTTAGATATAGGAAAAGAATGTTGTTACCATCCGAAAACAGAAGAGCAAACTGCAGCTAAAACAGCTTATTTATACATTAATTCATTACAAATTCTGCGGATGGATAGGTAAACCACTTTGATGAAAAGATATTTAGGAACACACATCATCTGACATCATCAGAGGAAGAAAACAAAATTAATTTAGCTTTACTTTTCTACAGTGGGAGGAAGTGGAGATCATGGTCCACGGCCCATTCATTGCAAATACATGAAATGGCTATTAAAATCTTCTCCTAAATTTCTCCTTTTGTGTTCTGCAGAAGAAAGCCAGTCACAGTGAATAAATTATGACGATTTTTGAACTATCCGTTCAATGATGGAGAGAACTCATAAATAATCCAAACTCAAAAGTCTGTCCTGGTCCTATTAGGTCCAATGGTCATTAATAAAACTTTTCCTGTTCTTTTTTTTTTTTTTTTTTTGTGAAACTTAGAGAATGATTTTCACTCTAGATGTTCCTACTTCTTACCTTCATGTGTGGCTGCTGAAAGGTGACTCTGGAGTTGTTGACCAAGGCTGAATACCTCAACAGGTTGGTTGGTGTGGCTGGAAATCTGTGTAAACTTGCTGTCTGGCTGTGTAGAACAGACGAGAAGCAGATATGCACTGTGTCCTTCAGGGCTTTTAGCTGTGACTCCTGCAACAAATTAAGTGAGACAACACACATGAGATTAATAGGAAAATGTTTATCACGCTGTCATCTTATCCTTTTGTCCTCAAACCATTTTTCTGTTCATTTTCTCCACGCTCTTTATGTCAAAATTGCAAAATCCCTGGCCTAAAAAGATAATAAAATTCATTCTCAAAGTTTACATTTCAAAAGATAGCAGGGGAAAACATTAAAGCTGTAGTGGAATGATGAAGCAGATGGTCTCACCTTATCCAGCGCTGCCTTCTCCAGTTCATCTTTGGCTACTTTGAGTTTGTTCTCCAAGTCCATCAGCTGTTGACCCTGCGCAGAAGTTAAAGGGTCATCTTATTATCATACAAAACTGACATCAGTCTTGGTTCTAAGTGTATATTTCAAAAACTGGGTAATATTTATGTGAATTGTTTCTTCCACAGATTAAAAATAAATAAATTAATTAATTAGTTAATACAAATTTGGAATTTTTCATGATTTTTAATTTTCCCTACTCAATTGCAAGTTTAAATTGCACAACTCATTTTAAACTTGGTTATAAACCTGCAATTGTTAAAAACAATAGTTGATATAGTTAAAATGTTTCCTTGTATTAAATCTCAGTACACAGGTCTCTCTTTTATATTAATATTTTTTTATTGGGTGATTTATAATAATGTATTTGTGCATATACATTTCATTAGATATTTTACCAATGCCAAAACTGAAAAAAAAAAAAATAATTTTTACAAAAAAAAACAAAACAAAACACTGCATTCACAAAAAGTAATACAGGCATAATAGTTATTATTTATTAATAAAAAAATCCCTTTTAATAATAATATTAATAATAATAAGTATGATGATGATGATTATTAGGATAAGTAGGATATTGTTTATTTATTATTATTTTAATTTTTTTTTTTAAATACTTTTACAATTTGACACATGCAAACCACTACAGAAATGTTCTAACCAACAGGCCCATGTCATATACAGTACAGATAATAAATAACCTACTATAATTTAAAAACATTAACGTATGCTATATTTTTTTTGTTTTCACAAGTTTTGGAGCAATAACTGTAACTGGGAATAGAACACAGCCAGGACCTGTGTTTCTTACTACAGCTCAAGGGGTGTAGTTGCAAGTGCACAAGTTTGCGATGCAGTTTGCGAATGTTCATTGGAACGACAGGTTTGGGAAACGTCAAATCAATCAACTATGTTTGTAACGATAGAACTTGCGACCTTAGATGGCTAATGGGGGTTTTCGGAAACGCACCCTTGAATGATACATTGGAGTATATTTTTCTCAAATGAAGGGTTGTCAGATACATCCTATGCATAAATTCATAATTTTGTTCAACTATTTTGATATTGGAAAGGGAAATGAAAGTACTCTGGCATATAGTCATTAAAATTATATTCCAAATATCTTTGCCACACATTTTTAAGTGATCCCATTGAAAAGTTGTAATAGACTAATAGTGCAGAATATATCTTAGAGATCTTTCCTTTTAAAGACTAGAAATTCACAGAAATCTCCTCTATATTAAGGGGAACTTTATTATTTCTTATTGCAACAACTCATTTGAATTAAAATATATTACATTTCTATTCAAAAGGGGGTGTGCTCATTTATGCTGGGCACCATGATCATAACACTGATTTAATAACAACAGCAAAAGTATTAGGTATATTTAGAAAATATCTTTTGTAATAATAGTGTGATATTAAGATAATAAGATATCCTATTCTTTCTGATGTTATTAATATACCAGTGTTATCGGGATAGTTTTTGGCAGAAAATATTGTCTTTGAATTTCCAAGGTGATTTGAGAATTATCCATAAAGCAACCTGAGACTAAGAAAAGCAAAGCAAACATTATTGGTTCAGGGACCTGAAACTAATATTGAAACTAATTAGAAAACCTGCCTTTCGTAAATGTTTAATTTAACATCTAATGTTCTTTGCACCTAAATGTCATAAAAATATCTAAAAACCTGCATTATTTCTCCATGTTTATAATATATTAGATTTTTACTTTGGCAAGTGGCTTTCTGCATAGACTAAGAGCATAATTATCAAACTAACCAAAGGGCCACATTTTTCTGCCTGATGTATTTTTTAATGTACTTCTGGTGCCATGAACTTCTATAATTGCTTATATAATTGAGCACGATTCTCTTCATTCAGGCAGAACTACATAATGACCTGCTTTCAATATGTCATTAGTTTAGTTTGAGAAATATTGCTCTCGGATGGTGCCGTGTGTAGAGTCAACAACAGACTGATTGAGATATGAACAGGTGGCAGAAATTCCACATCTGGCAGGATTAACACACACCATCTATACACATGCTTGGATATAGGAAATGCATTTAGTATTCATCCTTTACAGAAAGAACTTAACTGATCTTACGTTTACTGAAATATAAGGAGTCGTCTAAAATCGACCTTGAGCAGACTATGATTTTGCAATTTTAGAAATGTTTGAATGTTCCTGGAATAATGAAAAAGATAAATAATAATAAGAAAAAGATTTTCGGAATGAGAAAACGATAAAGTCTTTAGTTTTCAACAAGAAACAAAATCAATGCGAGACACATCAGTCTGAAAAATAGCTGTAAGATAGTGTTTTTCCTCAGTGACTCAGCAGCACACACACATTTGTACAGCTATCTTTATGGAAACTTCCCACTGATGTAATGATTTTTATACTAAATAAACTGTATATTATAGCTATTAAAAAGCAAGAACTTAAAAAGTTTCTTAAATATTTGCTATAATGCGTCTTTAATATTTTGTATTTATATAACATTATGAATTTACTTGTGACTCAAAATGAAGGTTCTTTGTTATGCGTTGACTAACATATGCAATTTAAGATATGTTATAATATGGTTTGTTTTCAATCAGTTTAAAATAGCTATCATCCGAGTATATTGTGAAATATATTTAATTGCTTGTTAAGCCAACAAAAATAAATATAAATGATAAGAAATATATAAATAAAATGAAACATTTAGTGTAATTAAAGCAAAGAACACTGCAATCATTCTGATTGTGTCTTCTAACAAGCTATTATGCCATTGCCAGCACAATTTTATTTCTTTAATCTCTCTGTAGTTATTTTCACAAACTTCTTTTGAGCACAACAGAGAAGAGGCGGATCACAAAAGCCAATGTAAAAAAGGATTGTTAACTAAAACATTTATTTTTAAAGTCACAGTATACACAAGGCAAATCAAAGAACTAAATTAGTTTAATCTCATTTTGTTCAAAATCAGGTCAACATGTTTAAAGTTAGTTTTAAAATACCTCGTCAGAGCAAACTTTAACACATTTAAGTCTTCTCTTTTTATCGTGTAGCTCTACTTTTTTCATACACTTGAGCTGAAGGAGACCTGTTCCACTGACTGAGCTTGGTTTCTTTCTTGTTTTGTTTTGATTGTTTGTTTGTTTGTTTTTTTTCTTAATATTTGTGATCTGATGAAATTTGTTCGCTTGCCACATTTGCCTCTGGCTTGCTTAGTTGGCATTGGTAGATCTGTCCTTGAATCACATCCTTATACTAAACTGAATCAACATTAAAGTGACTGAAAAATAACCTTGCTGTTTTTCTGTAGACCTGCTTTTTATTGCATTGCAAGCTTTACAATGTTACTAATAAATGTTTAAACTTTTTCACTATCTCTGTCGCTTGTCTTTGTAAAGCAGCTTGAACTGCTATAGAAACAAAGGTGACTTGAGGTAAAGGTGTTTGTAACAACAAGAAGTTATCATGTTCATCTGTCAACTGCCATTCTGACTTTCATCTGACATGCAGAGTTCCAGGTTTTGATTTATGAAAACAGTGCTCTTGTGTGCTTTTCCTCTGTGAGTCTGGAGTGAACTGCCACACTAAAAACCAAGAGCTGTGAAAACCAACTGCCATACAGTGAGTGTTTTGTTAAATATTTTTCTGTAAAAAGTGTGTTAAAAAAGGTTTTATCTTTAATAATTTTCTTATATAAAAAACGAACCATTCAGAATTTTTTTGATCACTTTTTAAAAAGTAGGTCACTATTCGCTGCCACATATTGTGTACATACAATTAAAGACAAAATTATCAGCCCTCCTGTGAAAATTTAACTATTTTTTTCAAATATCTCCCAAGTGATGTTTAACATTTTACAGTATTTTCTCTACATATACAGCTGAAGTCAGACTTATTACCCCCTATAAATTATTAGCCCCCTTATTTATTTTTTTCCCCAATTTCTATTAAACGGAGAGAAGATTTTTTTTCACTTTTCTAAACATAATAGTTTTATTAACTCATTTCTAATAAGTGATTTATTTTATCTTTGACATGATGACAGTAAATAATATTTGACTTGATATTTTTTTCAAGACTCTTCTATACAGCCTAAAGTGACATTTAAAGGCTTAACTAGGTTAATTAGGTTAACTAGGCAGGTTAGAGTAATTAGGCAAGTCATTGTATAATGATGGTTTTATCTGTGGACAATCGAAAAAAAAATAGCTTAAAGGAGCTAATAATATTGACCTTATTTAAATCATTTTAACAAAAAATAAAAAATAAAATAAAAAAATAATAATATAAAAATAAATAAAATAAAAATATTTTTATTTTAGCTAAAATGAAACAAATTTTTAAAAATCTGGGGGGGGTAATTATTCTGACTGTATCTTCCGGAAATTTAACATGATTAGCGCCTTTAAGAAACTTTTATGATATTTAAAAAATATATGATTTTTAAATCAATCAGTCCGTCCATCCGGCCATTCATCCATCCATCCATCCATCCATCCATCCATCCATCCATCCATCCATCCATCCATCCATCCATCCATCCATCCATCCATCCATCTATCCATCTATCTATCTATCTATCTATCTATCTATCTATCTATCTATCTATCTATCTATCTATCTATCTATCTATCTATCTATCATCTATCTATCTGCCCCATCCGCCTGTGATAAACGTGAACTAGCATACCAAGCAAATTCTAATGCTTTATATTAATAGATTTCGAATAAACATTAAAACTCTAGCTGCCCCACCAAGAAAAACATCAATAATTGGATTGCATTTCTTAACTCCTAATGTCATTTGATAACACACTCAATGCATTTTTCCAAAACATCCCATCTTTTTAAAGTATCAACCTCTACCATATGGTAGATAAGTTGGTTGATGGTAAAAGTACCATAATTCATAAATGTACATAAAAATATGTATCACCTTAGAATTATAAGGCTCTATCTGACATTTTTGTCAAAATTGAGTTATTGACATATTCTTATTAAATTATG